TAAGGTCACAGTGGAATAGTCACAAATTTTATGGTCACAGTTTATCCCACCCTACCCCGTCGTGACACCATACACCACCACCCACACTTGCAACCACCCTTGCCTTGTGACCGTCCCCAAAATCACAACACCACCACCTGCACCAGCACCATCACCATCGTCCACCGTCACCATCATCATCACCAGCATCTTGTTCCAACTTCCAACAACCACCACTATCGCCACTACCACCAACAACCACCCATAGCACCCAACCAGATCTGCAGCGCCATGGAGAAATGACGCCAGTGCACACTGCCAACACCACGTCATCGCTGTCGCGAACACCCACCCACCCGCACGCACGCACACACCCCACACCACGCACACTCACAACTCGTCGAAATTGGACGAAAAAGGCTGCGTTTCGGGGGGCCTGTGTTGCCCCTCGAAACGCAGCCGGATAAGGGATCTGCAATTCCGATCGATTGGGTGGCTTATAGGATGAATTGTGACCATGTTTCGGATCGTCTGGATGTGGGCTATTGGCCGGCAGTGGTCCGCGACCATGGGTGTTGCCGGAACGGGAGAATCCGGCTGAAACATAATGCGACAGTTCAAAAATTTGGCCGCGATTTTCTGCAAATTTCGGCTAGTTGGTGGCCGATGGTTGGGTGGAGGTTGTAGAGGGTGGTGAGGTGAGTCTATTGGTGGTTGGGTCCGGTGGCCGGAAACTGGTCGGTGGCGCTGGAGTTGTGGACAAGTAGAGAGAAAAATGAATGAGAAAGGAAGTGACGAGATTGATTTGGGGAATTGATTAGGGTTTTTAATTGAATTGGTTGAATTAACTATATATAATAGCTGATATTTGCATAGATAAATTTTATCCCTAAACTTTGAATTTGAACTTTTAAATGCTTGGTTTTATGTAATTTCCTCTTGGTTTATTTTCACAATTTGGCCCAAACCCTGAGGCTTTAATCTTCTACCTTCGGCCCATAACTTGGTTTTCAACCCATTAACAAAATTACTCTGAATTGACCTATCTGGCATTATCTCTAACGAAGCAACCAAGCTTTCAAATAGCTACCGGTCACGATTGTCCCCGCCCCAAGTCTCATCTCTGCCCTTTTTACCTTCCGTAAGCACGCTTGCCTCATAAGTTTTGATTGGAATTTCAAAAAGGAAGGGTGGGTTTGGTTATAGCCCAGCCAACTTATTCAGCCATTTGAAAATTGAATAATTTTGTTGCAGTACCTGCACAATGAAGTTGGGAACCTCAATCTCGATTTCTTCAACTTCTACATCCAAACTCCTTGATTCTAATATCACCCCCTATCCTCTCGTTCGGAATGCCTTCACCATAGATTTCATGGACAACTGAGTTTCAACCTTTTAACTGGAGAACCTTTTTCCATTGGCGTGGGTAGACGTACGGTGACCGCAGTGATATTTAGGAAAAGCATAAGGGTTGAAATTTATATTTGGGCTTGGAATGTTACCTCTACTTCTATTTGGGCCTGAATTATATTGGGCCTGCTTCAGAGCTTGATTGCAGTCCTCAACTCTTTGAGCCCACTCCTCACTTTGGCCTAACCCTTTAGTATTACACATTTTTCCTTCAGTCATAACCAACAGTTTCTTCTCATTGATGAAATTCTTCTCCAGCACTGCATCTGATATCGTCGATAATGGCACTGATGAGTTTTCAAATAATCTTCAGCTTCCTTTGATAGTGGTTTCTTTACTTCGATTTTGGCTGTCTGTACTTGCCCCAATTTCATCAGAATTGGGTAGAATTTCAGAGGTATGTGTGGTTTTAGGTGAAGTAGTGGCCAATTCCTCCTTTCTTTTCGATTCCTGTCCTTCCAATTTTTTTATCGTGAAATCCAATTTCTCCATCATATTAGCCCTCGCCTTCTTCATTTCAGATTTCACTGTTTTCAGATCTTTCTGTATTTCCAACTGAATTCCATCAATTTTCGACTCCAATTTATCGACTCAATCTTCTACTTGTATTTCTTCATCAGATGTAATTCCCCAGGGCCAGAATGGTTGCTCTGATACCATTTTGATAGGTTCCCGATGGCTGATCATGTTGGTGAAGGATTATAAAAGAGAAACAGCGATGAAATATATTGTTTATTGAATTGTTAAAGGAGACTAGCCCCCTTTGTTTTCCATTCTTCCCTTATTAAAATAAAAAATATAACCGTTATCCATTACATCAACCCACAAAATTTGAATTGTTATCTCTTGTGTGGGGTCGTAACGACTATATTTTTTATTCTTATTCTTTCAAAAATGGAAAACAAATGGGGCCTACAACTCTAGTCGAATTGATAAAATGAAAACAGAAATTGAAAGAACAATTCCAAGGCTTTCGAGAGGCATGGTCTTTTCCCTTGACCCAACCAAAACGTGAATGAATGATCCCCGAACCCCCAACTCTCACATTTATAAGCAACCCCTTGACTGTGGCTACTTGACTTATTACATTTTTACCCTACTAACTATTGAACCTTCTAGACTAACAATGACGTGCTGGCGACCAAGTGAACCAGATAGGAATTTATGAATTGGCAGATGATTTGTTGCCTACAATGCCATGTTTGTTCAACATATTAAATTTGGTCTTCAGCAATAAATGTCCAGAAATGTCTGGCTCAAAATGCCTTTTGATAAAGTTTTCAATTGATCAATGAAAAATTCCCTTCGGATAATGTTTTTAGTTGAATAATGAAAATTTGCTCTCTGTGCACATCATTTCTCTAAAACTAGATTGTGTTATTAAAGAATTAAGGATTCTCAACCTTCTTCAATTAGAACATTAAAAATGGCGGTTCTCAGTCTTGTTGATTGAGTGTTCTTTCATTTATGAGTAAGAGATGGTTGTCTGCATATTGACATGTAAAATCACAAAGAAATATACTCTCATATCTACTGTAGGAATTTGCATTTTTGATATATATTATATCTTATAACTTGAATGAAGCCTTTTTTGCTATATTTTCACACCAAGGCTATTTTTTATTTTAGGACTGTATCATTAGAGTTCAATGACATGGAGATTCTTCACGAAAATATTCTTTCGATTTGTATTCGCAAGTATACGGTTCGTGACAAGTAATACAGTGGAAAATTGAGTCCAAATATCGTCCCACAAAAATTGATTTAGTTCAATGTTATTTATCCAAGCTTTAACCGAAACTAAATTTTGACAAGTGATTCTATAACTTCATTAAGCTAATTATGCAGGCAATGAACGAAATGCAAATTGATGTTTAAAAGACCTAAAATACTATTAAATGTTGATAATGCAATTTAATGTACAGTAATTGTATGATGCACATTGATCACGAATCCCCAAGCAATGCTCAATTCAACCCTAGTTCTATAATTTGACAACACGTTGAAATTATGAAGAATCAATGCTCCTAAATCTATTAAACAGTCTCTCTCGAGCAAAGTTAAACCTACTCTCATATACCACCATCATATATCTCTATGAAGGGTGCAAATATACAAGAATACATCTAGTTTTGTGAGCACTTAAAGATTTAAGTAGAGTATAGAGATATATCTCTATTCCTATCGGACCCTACGATGATTTATACAGTGTCGAACCTATTTCCCATCTCTCGAATGCAAGAAACAAGTCATCCAAACTCACACAATTACGGGCCCTTAATTGTGGAAGAAATTAAATGCATATAAACCATTCAAAATATTCAATACGTGTTTTTATGTCAAAAATATAGAATAAGGAATAAAAATAAAAATCACATTACAAGGTTCATTGATCGCTTAGTACATAAAAATCTAGCCTAACATGATGGGAAGAAGAAAACAAACTAAATCATAAAGAAAAGATACCACCACTTTAAATCTTGAATTGAATCATTGCGTCTTGATGTCAATCTTCTTGTTCCTGCCTTATTCTCTTCTCTAAAAATTCTTATGAATATGTTATAATGTGTGGTGTATGCTTAGGGACGGCCCTAGGGTTGTAAAATACCTCCAAAGATTTGTTACCACAAGAATTTCAGTAAGAATAGGAAATTGAGAATTTTTCACCGCGATTGGCCTGGGCATCCGCCAGGCCAAAGTTTTCTTCGCTGTAATAATTTTTTTACGTTGGGAAGTCACTCAGTTTTAAAAAACTCCCCAATGTTGCATTTTAGCCCCCGAAATCAATTCTCAATTTTTTCAAGTCATTTCTAGTGCATCTTTAACCCTTTGATTTTTAATTGCATCTAATTGAACCCGCAACATCTCTAATCTTCATAATGTGGTCCGAATCAACTATTGAAATGTTGCAATTTAGTAGTTATACTTGGATTTCCTTCATTTTTGATCCTTTTTTTTGTTTCTTTTTTCTTGAATTTCGCCAAGTTCATCAATATAGTTCTACAAAACATAATTACATATAATTAAGTCATAATTCAAACGCTTTGATCAACAATTAGTCATGTTTTGTGGCCAAATAAGTGTGTAAAAACGCACTTATCAGAGATAAAGTCTCAGATGTTTGCCTTCCCATCTTGATGTTCATGCTTCATATCTTTCCCATGTCTCCCCAAATTCTACGTCATAGAACGAGAATCAAATAGAACAAAGCAAAGCATCTTATATTTAAAAGAAATTGTCACCTTGTCTGTAATTCATTCTTTATTTCCTTAACTATATTATATTACTTGGCAGTAGGAGTAAAAATGGAGAATATTATTTATCTTGGCGGTCCAAATATTGCCTCAGATATCTGTAACAAGGAATCTGCTAATGCTCGAATAAGTGGAGCCAGAAAATGGAGAATATAGCTTGCTATGTTCTTAAGGCAATCCCATTTCAATGTTTGGGACCCCAGTGACCTTCTCACAGGCGAAGTTATGGGAGGATTGAAGAACGTCTTTGCCATTAGAACTGTAGTTTTAAATTTATTTATTTATTTATTTATTTATTTTTATACTCAATTCTTATTCTTATTTTTTCTTTAAAAAGGAAAAAAAAAAAAATACTGCTTCCTTACAATTCTGACACTTCTGATTCTTGAACTTTAACTTTATTCATTGGTTGAAACGATTGAGAGAGGAAAAGGCCTAGATTTCTATTAACCATCATGTACACTCGATTAAATGTAGGGTAGCTCTTGAAATATGCTGAGGCATGCTTCATTTCCTGGATACTGAGGTTGTACATATTCATCATAACTCATGCTTGACTGTAGATTAATGAATGAACCATTATAAACTTGCACATTTTGCCTCTTTTTATATTATGAAGCTCTTGAAAGAATGAATTATAATCGCTTTTTCAAGATGTTCTACTAATATCTGTCAAGATGATAGGAACTCTTTGTATTTATGTAGGGACCAGCTTAAGTTTAGAACTTAAGGGGTTCTCTTGCTGAAGTGAAATCTGATATCGTGGTTAAGGTAATTTGTTATTTCTTTCTACTTTTGTTATTTTCTCAAGAAATGATGTGAGTTTTTCCTCGTATGAAGCTTGTACCCATATTATTCTTCATGCAAATTGGTTTGAGGAAAGGTTCTTGCTCATTTGTTGAGGCTCGTGCTGCTGGTTGCTTGGGATACATATGGGACACTGTTTCTGGCAGTGATTTGGTGCTACACTTGATATTCGATGTACCTCAGGTATCAAATTATCTTGTTTATTTAGCCATGAGGGCTTTGTTGTTATCCTCTTCACGTTGCTCTCTCTATATTTAAAAATGAATGCTTTGAATTTTTTATTTGGTGTAAAAATATATTTTACAAGGACTAGCAGATGAGAGTGGCTCTGTTTTTTGTTATCAGTCATTTTATCAGCTTTCGAGTTTTTTCCATTTCAATACTGATTACAATTTTTCCAATATTTATTTATCTTAAATTTATGGGACAATTCAATCTTAATTTTATCATGCGTTGTAGGCTGATAATTACGAGAAAGTGTTCTCCCACATGATGCCAAATAGCATATTTGGACTCTGCCATGGATTCCGTTTTGGCCATTTGCAATCTGTTGGCCTTGACTTCCCAAAACAAAATCAGCATAATAGCTCTAAGTCCAAAGGGAATGGGACCTCTATGAGAAGGTTATATGTGCAAGGACAATAAATCAATGGTGCTAGCATCAATTCTGTCCACTAGGTTTGTGCATCTACGAGTTTAAAAAAAAAAAAGGTTGAACCCCAACCTTGAGGGCCCCCACTACCCCGCCTCTAGAGCTTTGTGAGAGAGGTAAATCGAGAAATATGCCCCATCAAGCCAAGGAACAAGAGCTGTCTGTACACTGCGCCTTCAAGAAGTATAATTCCATGTCTCAGGAATTGAACCCCTACACTGCCGCTGCTAGCAAGGCGTGAGATAACCTCACTCCTGTCCTTTACACCACTGGATTATGCCCCGAGGGGCATTGTGCATCTACGAGTTTGTGGAAGGTGGTGGTTGTGGGTGTGAGAGAGATGATGGGCATTTGCGCACATGTGAGGTTCTTGATATATGATATTTGATGGGTTTTTTTTGCCTTCATGCTTAGGATGTTGATGGTAAATCTAATACCCTGCCCTTAAATGGTCAATTGCCCTTGGTTCTCCTTTTACTTTTGTCACTACTTTGGAGTCGGGGTACAAGAGTGATATTTTTGGGGAGAGAAGTGGTTTTTAATGTCATAATTCACTTGATGATGAACCCTGAATGTCAATTTTCTGATCAATAAGCATTTTACTCGATGTTGTACATGGTATTGTGGAATCATTATTTAGATGGTACGCTGAAAATGGAATGTGCGAAGATGTTGCCTACAACACTGTGGAGTGTATAACAAGAATTTTTGAACACAATTGATATCTGCATTGCTCCCTTGAAAAGATTGGAAATCCATCTGGTGTAGATGATCTTAGATAAATTCGATACTAAAACTTGCTTTTGTCTCAAAGGAAGATCGGTTTTCATTTCTGTTTGGATCATTAATTATTATTCATAAAAAATCCCAAAAAAAAAAATACATTAAAAATTTCCTTATTTCATTTATTTTATCCTTGCTTCCATCAGCTTTTGAAGTCATTCACATGCATATAGATAAATTTTCTATCACAATGCTTTATTCTAACTGGTTATTTCAAGTGTTCTAATTTGATTTATGACAGCTACTGTCAGTAAAGAAAAAATAGATAAAGTTCACCATATCTATCATTACTCATTTACAATGAACACGCTAACATTAGCTTTAAATTAACGAGATTTGTGCATTGCACGAACAAAGATTATCATATATATAGTGTAATGGACTACTAGGTTTTTAATGGGACAAGTTTATTTATTTATTTTGTATTTTTCTTCAATTTCTATCTATTGCTAAACATTTCTTGTTCAATTTCACGAAACGATGAGGAGTTGTGCCATGAGTTAATTGTTCCATTGGTCACTAAACTTATATATATATCTTCAATTGTTCACTAAAATGTCGAATTTCAATCATTAAACTTTGAAAGTTTTACATTACTCACTGACATAACTTTCGTCTCAACACTTTTAACAAAACAGATGACGTATTGACGAAATGCACATGTTATGCCCCATCACACCGTTAAACTATGAGATGTCGAATTTTTGACCACTAAACTTTTAAAATGTCTTCTATTACTCACTAAACTTTGAAGTGGTCAAATTTTTAGCCACTGAACTAAGATATAGATGAACTTTGACCACTAAACTTTGAAGCTTACTCACTAAACTTTGAAGTGGTTAAATTTTTAGCCACTGAACTAAGATAGAGATGAACTTTGACCACTAAACTTTGAAGCTCATTATAAATTTGGATTTAATTTAACCTCTATTTATCTCCCTTTAAAACAAAACTCTTCAATTTTTATACTCATTTTTACTCACATTTATACAATAAAATATTTTATACGTAAAATCAAAATTTCTTCCAACCTTCCAACCACTCATTCTCCAAAAAATCACTATTTAAATTTTTTTTTTTTTAAATAATGGCCATCAAACAGGTGCTAAATTTTGAATTTAATTTTATTTAACAATAAATATATTTTAAAGGTACTCCGCAATTGAGTGGAATTGAGATAATAAAAGAGGGTGAATATTTCATTCTTCCATAAATGAGTAGCATTGAGACATGAAACCACTGCAATAAGTTGTCAGAAGGTACTCTGGTCTTGTGCAATTTCTTCTTCATCAACACGTGCAATTTCTTCTTCATCAACACTGGATTATTTCAGTGGCCCGTGATCTGCCATTTGTTCGTATATTGTTGCGAGGGCTAGGCCATCATGGATTAGGGCGCTGATGAAATTGGAGTCCGGCCAGAGGGATGGATGTGGATGATTGTCTTAACAGATGGAGAAATTTGGTTCCAAGACATCATTCCAAGAAAATGACACTGGTTCCTTCAAGCACATTCTTCCTTCTTTTTAGAATGTTTCGTGCTAACCTTGCGTTTTCTATGCTTTTCTGATTCAACAGTGTCTTTCAATTTCGTCAAAGCTGGTTCAAAAGAATGATATAGGAATTAGAAAATAAGAGAAAATGGACTACGTGTACAGTATCAACATGTATGCATTTTTCTTTTGCACGAAAAAAGTAACATCTTCAAGACTACGTCAAGTTTGAATTACCTACAGGATGAGTTAAACGATATAACCAACTTCCAAAAGTCAGTCGATAAAATAATGCACGAATTACCTGTAGTATACAGAGAACGAAGAGAGTCTATTGATTCAGATGGGATAGAATAAACAGGACATGAGTTGTTATCAGCCTTCTGCAAAAGCTTTTTGAATCGCTTAACCTGAAATGAATTCAAGCTCGTGAATTCCAAGTGTTACGAGCAATATATGATATGAGGAAAAAATTATCAAATTTCAGAACCATTATTGTTTGCATATATTTATTTGATTTATGTTAATTAGAGAAACGTCCAAATGATATTCAATATTGCTTCAGAATGCACGGTGGCAAAACATGTCAATAAAGGAGAATACAAAGAATAAGAAAAGCAGAATCAGCAAAGAGAAAAGATGAAGAGGATGGGAAAGAAGAAGCAACTGAAGAACCACAAGCAAGAAAGAAAAAGAAATACCTCATCTTTGAGCAACAATGTGAAGCAACGCCCAGTTTGACCAGCTCTGGCAGTTCGACCAGCTCGGTGAATGTATGTTTTGATATATGCAGGCATATCATAATTAATTACATTTTTCACCCCTTCAACATCCATTCCACGAGTCATTGCATCAGAGGAAACTAGCACCTGTATTTCTCCGGATCGGAATGCCCTCAATGTCTTGCTGCAAGACAGATTTTTAGGCAAATTAGAAAGCAATCGTGCACAACTGTATAAATAATGACCATGAATTGATCAAGAACTGGACATTGCAATCATAACTGAACAGATTTTGGTGACTAGTTTTCCCTTAAAAAAATTATGACATTTCACCTAGTAAACCTGAAAATGCTTATTGTATATCTATTTATCACTCGATTGCACAAGTTCACAGCTTGGCAATAAATCCCACTTCTTCTCTCCCATAACAAACAAAGAAAATACTACTGTGGGGGCAGAATAAAAATCTTACAGTTTCACAAATCCCATCAATTAACTTTCAATTTAAAACAGACGAAAAATGTACATTGATAGGGATGCAACTTCATACGCACACAACTGAACTGGAATTTTTTGACATGCAATATAGCCCGTCATCGCTTAAACGGATCAGAGCTGGCTGTCATTGACCCAAGATGAAAGAGATACACAAACACCGATTTTGAATTGTTATTTAATGTAACTAGAAAAAATCAAAAAGCCACTTTCCAGTAAGATATATACAAGCATTCCTTGAGCTTAATTCATGTTCCCTCCCCAAAAGAATCCTTTCCAAGGAGAAGAGATAGATGCAATTTTCACTTCTATACAAGCTCAAAAGCCATAGTACAATGGCCTCAAATATTTATTTATTTTTTATTATTATTTATTTTATTTTATTATTATTTTTTGGGGGGGTGGGGTGGGGGGAGGGGTCAACTGACTCAACTAGAACCAATATCACCGACACAAGGATAGGTCTATTTGATATATTCACATGCAGCTTATGGAACCTGTAGCACATAATGCTTATTTTTAGTAAATTTCTCTCCAGACTTAACAGATGTGAAGTAAAAAGCAAGTAGCACGGTCAGTGTGCATCCCCACATCAGTATTATTTCCTTTTATCCCCATCATGGCATCACTTTCGGCGGAGGTGGGGTCTATTATTTGTTTCAGAGCTGATTCTAGTTGTACTTACCCACCATAAGCAAGTGTGCGTGTGGAGGGAGAGAGAGTGAGATGAATCAAATTTAGCTCATGCCAACCCACCTTTATCCCACTATCTCCCCTTTGAGTTCCATCTATGGAAAACATTAAGAATGAACAGAAAATAATTTATTTTAATAAACAATGTAAGTGGATTTAGACTACCTTCTTATGGTCTGACGTTGAAGACGTGAGTATTCTCTGATCTTGATTTGCCAGTCACCAAAGAAATTTAGTAAGGTGCACAGCCTATGAGCTGACTCCACAGATGACGTGAAAACAATACACTTATCCCTTTGCAAAGTTTCCAGTAGGACAAGTAGATAAAGTGGTTTAAATTTTGGTTCGCATATCTGCACTCAATTGAAGGGAATTCATCCACATAAACATTAAGACAAATGTTACTACTTGACCAGTCAGAACTGCAGCCAAAGATAATAATTTAAGAAGTGACATACTTGAAACCAAAATTTATGAATCAAGTTTTTGAGTCACTTCAGTTTTCACCTCTTGAATTTCAGAATGTACTGAATTTCATATATATAAATCCCACAAGATATTTTAAACTTAAAAAATAAAATAAAATAGAGGTTATCTTTCTTTTTGATAAGGAAGACAAAAACAAAACAATAAAAGTTGTAACGAAATAAAAGAGTGCTTGTTTTCAGCATGTTCTATAACCACAAAATTTGAAGCAAATATACATGGAGTGATAAAATAAGAAAGAGAATGGTTGCACATGTAAAAGACTTGTGTTTTGCCAGTAGAATTGGATGTCCATACCACTTTGAGGGATTTTAGTTGTTCAGGGAGCTGGTAACGCCTTGGTCCAGTAGTCAAGAACAAAGGATGATGAAGATCAAG